GACAGAAGACGATAAAGCTAAACGTTCGAGATCGACAGAAAGTGTTGAAGACAGAAGAAGATAAAGCTAAACGTTCGGGATCGACGGAAAGTGCTGAAGACAGAAGACGATAAAGCTAAACGTTCGGGATCGACAGAAAGTGTTGAAGACAGAAGACGATAAAGCTAAACGTTCGGGATCGACAGAAAGTGCTGAAGACAGAAGACGATAAAGCTAAACGTTCGAGATCGACAGAAAGTGTGAAGACAGAAGAAGATAAAGCTAAACGTTCGGGATCGACGGAAAGTGCTGAAGACAGAAGACGATAAAGCTAAACGTTCGGGATCGACAGAAAGTGTGAAGACAGAAGAAGATAAAGCTAAACGTTCGGGATCGACGGAAAGTGCTGAAGACAGAAGACGATAAAGCTAAACGTTCGGGATCGACGGAAAGTGCTGAAGACAGAAGACGATAAAGCTAAACGTTCGGGATCGACGGAAGGTGCTGAAGACAGAAGACGATAAAGCTAAACGTTCGGGATCGACGGAAGGTGCTGAAGACATAAGACGATTAAGCTAAACGTTTGGGATCGACAGAAAGTCTGAAGACAGAAGACGATAAAGCTAAACGTTCGGGATCGACGGAAAGTGCTGAAGACAGAAGACGATAAAGCTAAACGTTTGGGATGGACAGAAAGTGCTGAAGACAGAAGACGATAAAGCTAAACGTTCGGGATCGACAGAAAGTGCTGAAGACAGAAGACGATAAAGCTAAACGTTCGGGATCGACAGAAAGTGCTGAAGACAGAAGACGATAAAGCTAAACGTTCAGGATCGACAGAAAGTGCTGAAGACAGAAGACGATACTTACTTTGTTAACTAAAGCAAATTTCTTGTACAATTTAACAAGTCTTTCCTCATAGTCGCTTTAAAATTTTACATTCATTTACATTTAAACTATTTAACCAGGGATAAAACAATGTACAAGATCGCTGTATATGAAATGGAACGTAATCAGTATTTTTTTTATGAAATCATTCTTACAGTTTACATACACCAAATCATATGTGTGACAAACCTTTATGGAAAAATTAAAACAGTACAATCATAAAATAAAAGTACAAAATTCAGTACTTATTGCGTAAAGAAACCAATCTCAAGAACGCCAATTAATTTCACTGGTAACTGCTAATGTAAGAAAAGTAGTTTAACGATTGCCTTACGTGCTGGGTGAAAAAAAAACGAATAAACAAAATCTGCCTGGTGATAGTTTTTTCAAAATAATTGATATTAGAACTTTCGATGTCAATTTGGTATGTTTATTGTTTAAAAGTTAAGAAATATTTTGAAATATTTTTCGTCCTGACTAACACTGCATTCTTTCAACAGGGTTATTCAAGAAACATGAAAAAGATGATAAATGAAAGGTAAAAGCAAACTAGATACTTCGCAAAATATTATGGGCTTTCAGTGAGGGAAAACCTTCTTGATAACAATGATAGGGTTAAGGCCATAGAAGCATCACTTTATCATGTTGCTTGAACTGATGAGTATCCACAGCATCATAATTGCCCCGGTGGAGAACACAGTTAATGTGGTTAGGAAAGAAATAAAGATAATTACAATCATAGTTCATCCAATGATTTCTCTCAGTCTCCAGTGACTATTTTCTTCAATGCATATAACCTATTACTTTCAATCATAATTCAGAAGAAGGAGAAGGAGGTGATGAAGAGGAGGTGATTTTTTTATTACTGATTTATCAAAGCAGCCTGCTTTCTATAGTAGAGAAATATAAGACGATTTAAATTTTCAATCGCTCAATTTAACTTTTGCGATAATGTAGTTCTTGTTATGATTTAATTTATATACGTATATATATCACAAGTCTTTTCTATGTTGGTATACGAATCAGTCATTTTCTTCCACAAACTGATATAAAAATTTCATGTATAATATCATCATAAACTTTGTATGTTGTTGCAAAAAGAAAACATTCCACTATATGATAAAAGCAAAAAATGTAGAACTTTTACAAACAAACTGTTTATAAAATAATAAGTGGAAAATATTTGCAAAAAGTGTCATGAAATTATTATTGTGCGCGTAGTTTACTATATCTTTACAGGATCAACAAAAAATCATTCGTGCAATAGATAATGTTTTAATTTTTTGTTTGTTCATAATCGATCTCGCAAGACCAAATGTATCTACTAATTTTCTTATTATTGAAGTTAAACGAGCATAGTTTTAAGAATTATTGCAAAAATTAATGCATTAATTATTTTTATATTTTTTACGTAACAGGCCACAAATAATATGTAGGCCGTGATCTGTGCCTCAAAAATATGCTTTAAAAATGAGTTTCGTTGGACACCTCAAGGAAGGTCGCAAAATTTTCAAAATAGATAGAAAGTCACTTGCTGTTTGATATTCTTTTTATTGTCACTTCTAAAAAGCTGCAGTTTTTTAGTATTTCGCGGTTGAATTTCAAAATTCCTCGCTCCTTCAATTTTGAATGTCGCCATTTTTTGGTCGGAACTCTTTGATCTAACTGCCGTTGTCATGGTGAGGCAAATTTATTAACGGGCGCCATCTTGAAAGGTGGCAAAAAAGCGATATTCTTAATAAAGTCCAAGTAAAATGTAAGTTTTAAATGAAGAATTCTGTGGAAAATTTTGGGAGCAAACCTGAACTGTCACCTTTGCACTTATGTATCAACATAGGAGAAGCCTGTTTTAGACCTAAATCTTGTCAGTTTTAAGAACTCAAGGTTATATAGAGGAACTACTCCGACCAATAATAATATTTGTTGTTTGTAAAAAAGAGTATAAATGCTGTTCTGTAAAATAATAAAAATCAGTTCCATCATTAAGTTCACTCGTGGTGGTTACTGAGATATAAAGTATACTAAGAAAGAGATATGGCGAGTAACTCGAACTCAACAAACATGGAAGAAAGGCATTCGTGTTTGATTCATTTAAAAATCATACATGAAAATACTGCCAATATTTTGATAATAAACATTGTTGAGTCATGCTCATAAACCACAAAAACATGTTAAGGAAATAGTATGTGCGTAGTTTAGTTTATCAATGCATCCGTTCCCACACGGCTAAGAGCCAAGGAACAGTTATTGACGTTAGTTTAATTTCCTTATGTACCATATAAAGCTTAAACAGAACAACTGTTCCGACCAATAATAATATTTGTTGTTTGTAATAAAGAGTATAAATACTGGTGTGTAAAATAATAAAAATCAGTTACATCATTAAGTTCTCTCGTGGTTGTTACTTGAGATATAAAGTATACTAAGAAAGAGATATGGCGAGTAACTCGAACTCAACAAACATGGAAGAAAGGCATTCGTGTTGGATTCATTGCGAAGATGACGGCGGAACACTGACGAATTTTACACCAACATCGTTTAAACGGTTCCTGGAATGCAGAAAGCAATGGCTACAACTTGATGGACGACAGAAAGACGTAGCCTTGAAAACCACGAATGTGATTCCTATCGAGGAGTTAGAGGATAACTTGGGAAGTTACGAGCGTTACTTTTACCATTCACGTTGTTATTCGGCATTTACGAATAAAACTTTAATACATCGAGCACAACGACGCTCTGAAAAGAGTGCAAAAACGTCAACCGATACCGAGCCTTCTACGTCCGTACAGCAGGAAGGACCATCTCCAGAAAAGATAATGCTGCAATCAAAATCATTCACTGGTGAAAGAATTAAGGCAAAGAGCCAGCACGTGTTACCTCCAACCTGTGTCATTTGCAAGAAAGAGCATTCATACTACACTGACAGGGTAGGTAAACGTAGCTGTAAATCACGCACGGGTGGCACTAGAGTAGGGAGCTGTATGGAGCTGGGGGCAGAAGTTGTTTTTTGCAACTCGACTTTCGAATTTGGATAGGGAATATATTGTAAAAAAATGCAAAAAACCTCTACTGCTTAAATTTCAAATCAGCCAAAACTGAATTCATTAAAGCAAGGATTTGTAATAATTTTTTGAAGTTTTCTCTGAAAAAAAAGATTTGCATGGAAAACGCATTGTTACACAAGCCAAGTAAGTCAGACCCGCCATCGAGGACCTAAGCCCCTCTGTCGGAGAATTCTTGGTGCCACCACTGCTGGGAAATATCCAAACAATGAAGAGCAAATGGAAAACGTTTGGAGAATTCTGCGATGCTATTTTTAATAACGTATTAAAGTTGGCCAAAGACTGGAAGGCAACAAGAGTTGACTTTGTTGCGGATAGATACCTTCCCACAAGTATCAAGGAATCGGAAAGGAACAGAAGATCCGTAAACACTGGAATTCAGAAAATTCGTGTATTCGACAAAAACCAACATGTTCCAAAGCAGTGGAAAAAGTTTCTTGCTCTGGGCGAAAACAAAGAGTCTTTCATCCAGTTTCTTTGTGAACACTGGGGCAATTACGTATCATCTTGTCTCGGACATTTGTCATCGTTGTATGTAACGTCGAAGGATAAATGCTATTGCATTACTCGAGCTAGATCAGATGAGGATAAAGTGGAATGCAATGAAATGTATGAATTGGAGTGTAATCACGAGGAAGCTGACACTCGGCTGTTACTACATGCAAATCATGCTAAAGAAACCAACGAAAGAATCATAATCAAAAGCCAAGATACAGACGTTTTTGTGTTGTCGATCGCCATGCAACGAATTATTAACAAAGAAATATGCTTCATGACTGGAACAGGAAATAACTTCCGCTTGATTTCTATACAAACTATTGTAGAAGAAAGTGATGAAAATCTTAGTCAAAGCTTGCTAGGTTTCCATGCCTTTACTGGTAATTCTATAACACCAATGTTGCTATTAGTTTTTTTTTGTTACGATGATAATAAGTGAAAGAATAGTATACTGTAATCAATATTTTCAAAATTTTCTTTTAAGGATGTGACACAACCAGTTCCTTTTATGGAAAGGGCAAAAAGACAGCGTGGAACATTCTACGTAACCACAAATATTTGAACTAATTTAGTTCCTTAGGAAGTGCATTTCCCCCGTCAGAAGAACTTGTGTTTCAACTAAATAGATTTGTTTGTTTATTGTACGGTGACAAGGATTCTGAGGACGTCAACAAATGTCGGCTCTCATTGTTCAAGGCAGGAAAATGTTCAGATGAGCAACTACCACCAACTTGTGACAGTTTGCTGCAACATATTCGTCGGTCAAACTACCAAGCGGCGATTTGGCGTTCCTGTTTACAACCTCAAATGGATATTCCTCCTCCGGATGAAAATGGGTGGAAAACAATTGACGGGAAACTGCAAATCGTATGGATGACCATTCCCCCAGCGCCGGATTCCCTACTTGATAATGTTAATTGTGGATGTAAGACTGGCTGCAATTCACAACGTTGTTCATGTAATAAAGCAGGAGTGAAGTGCACAGATGTATGCTCTTGTACTGCATGCACGAATGTCGATATTGATGACAACGATGTTGAGGAAGAGGAGTTTTTAGACGATGACATGTACGACGAATTCGAGGCAGACCTTTAGAAAAAGCGCGCGCTTGTCACCGCCCTTGAATGACGACTAGCGTTGCCTTGTGCTGTTATGGTGGCGTAATGCGTTTAATCTGTGCGCAGCTTCAGACTACTCTGTCGACCGTATCGAGGGTAGCATATGAAATAATACCAGAAGCTCACCAACTGAAGAATGAATTTCTTTTTTTTCTGTTTTTTTTTTAACAATGCAATAAAATTTTCCAGTAATGAAAAGCATATGAAATAGCTAAAATGTCGACAAGTCTAAAAATTGGAAGAAAATCGTCCCTATCCTTACTCGCTAGCAGTCGCAACTGCGTGACAATGCACCTGTAGAAAAAGGGCGCCTTGTCTTGCACAATACTCTTACAACTTTCAAAATATCATCTTCACGAAAATTTGTTAAATCTAACCTAATGCACGTGTCAAATCGTTATTTTTTTAAGAATCTTACTCAGGTTGTCAATTTAACCGAGTGGAATAGCTCTGTTATAGGTCTGGCACGAGCACACAAAATATAAATTACATGAAGTTTCCGAGGAATAATTGCGGATTCCGGAATTGTAATGAGCTACAAATTTTAAAATTTCAATGTGATGTAGCAATAAAACTGCAGCTTTTTGGAGATGACAATAAGTAAAATTGTATTAAGCATGTAAAAGTCGTTTTGTCTTGAATTTTTCACGACCTTCCTTGAGGTGTCCAACGGGAATAAAAGAAAATCGGTCACAGATCACGGCCTAATGCGCCATGTGATGGACATGGACATGACGAATTGTGATGGTAAAAAATCTATTTTAATCATTTTCTCCATTTTTCTTGACAGGCTACAAATTATCAAATGGTCGATATGATCGAAAAACGTTTTATGTTCGTAGGAAGCTTAATACATGTGATGACTGGAACTAGACCAGATTTATGTTATATTGTTACAAAACTATCTCAGAAAATGTCTGAACCCACACAAGCAGATTTATCCACTGCCAAACATGTTTTAAGATATATAAAAGGGACACAAGAGGTTGGATTAGTCTTTCAAAAATAAGATTCACAACTTAAACTTACAGGTTTCTGTGACTCAGATTGGGGAGCGTCTATAAAAGATAGACGAAGTATTACAGGTTATAATTTTCAGCTTTCACAAGAAGGTCCTCTCATATCATGGAAGAGCCGAAAACAACCAACTGTAGCACTATCAACGTGTGAAGCAGAATATATTGCCCTAGCAAATGCAATTCAAGAAGCGAAGTATTTAATGCAAATTTGTTTAGATATGAAGGTAAGTATAATGGAAGGTAGGTCTTTTCTTTTAATAGATAACCAAGGAGCAATGAATCTAGCTAAAAACCCAGTTCATCATCAAAGATCAAAACATATCGACATTAGATACCACTTTATCAGATCAGAAATTCAGCAAGGAAGAGTTTGCTTAAAATATGTACCTAGTGAAGACAACGTAGCAGATATTTTTACAAAACCAACAAGCAAAAACAAATTAGAAAAATTTAGGCAGACAATATTAGGAAACGTACGGTAGAAATTCTAAAGTGCGCATAAGTAAGGCCAAAGGTAAGTATCAGTTTAGGAATAATAATAATAATAATAATAAAAAAAGATAAAAATAAAAATGTAGGATACCTTACTGTGTGCTATTATATAAAGTTTAAATATATGTTTGAGGTATAAGCTGTCATACGAAAGCAGCAATTTTATATAGTGGTTCTTATTTCATTCATTCAGAAAACTGTGTACCGATGGCGTCATGTTTGATGCACAACATTAACAGTAAAGATGCTCAGATTTGAATGTAAAAGTATTAATAAACATTTACAAAAGTTGAACGACTCGTTTTTTAAGTTTGTTCATTTTTTGCAAGAAATTGATGTTAGTTAAGACCTTCTGATGCATGCTGCTCAGCGATTCATTCCAAAATAGCTTAGATCACAAATGAAAAATTTTCTTCAAATATTGGGCTTGAGGAGCGCAGAAAAATAATTGAAAAGCCACCGCAAAATTGCGACAAACTTACTGTGCCCAAGCTCAATGAGCTTATATGGTCAAGCCTTAAAAATTTCCATCGTCAACGAGATTTGCGCACCGCAGTTCTACAAGATTCTAGTGTGTGTGTCGCAAGTTCTCTCTCAGTTACTGTCGATGACCAATTAAAATGCTGAGAGACAAAGTCTTGCCGGACTTTCGCGCCATTACGACTACACTCTTTGATGCCGTTACCTTATTAGTGCATGTAAATTTTAGAGCTGTCATACAAGCGTCGACGTGTAGGCCCACCCATATTTTTCCCCATCCCCTCTCCTCCACTCTAGCCATTGTACCAATACTCGTGCTCTAAATACTGGTCAATTCATGTGCAGTACTCTCTCTCCTACATTTCCTGCACTCCTCGCTAATGACTAATAGAATTTTATTTAAACTTCGATTTAAGGTAAGTCTCGTTTAATTTCCAATTGTTAACAAAGTGAGACACCTAAGGATCACACACTAAATAACTTTAAAGATGCATTATCGCAGTTACTTTTGCATTCTATATGCTAAGACGCTTAGTGTACGAAAGACATATGGAATTATTATGTCTTGTAACAGGCATATGGGACCTAGAAAGCACAAATGTGCCCAGTAACACCCATATAACACGTACGTGCGTAAAGCCATGGGACCTAGAAAGCACAAATGTGCCCAGTAACACCCATGTAACACGTACGTAAGTAAAGCCATGGGACCTAGAAAGCACAAATGTGCCCAGTAACACCCATGTAACACGTACGTAAGTAAAGCCATGGGACCTAAAAAGCACAAACGTGCCCAGTAACACCCATGTAACACGTACGTGCGTAAAGCCATGGGACCTAGAAAGCACAAACGTGCCCAGTAACACCCATGTAACACGTACGTAAGTAAAGCCATGGGACCTAGAAAGCACAAATGTGCCCAGTAACACCCATGTAACACGTACGTAAGTAAAGCCATGGGACCTAGAAAGCACAAATGTGCCCAGTAACACCCATGTAACACGTACGTAAGTAAAGCCATGGGACCTAGAAAGCACAAACGTGCCCAGTAACACCCATGTAACATGCACGTGAACATAACTAATACGTTCACACGAGTAATTGTTGTAAATTTTACTGATGTTTGAACAATACTAGTTTGTTCAGTTTTTTTCTGATTTTATTTCCTTGAATTTTATGGTTCTCTGTCTTACACAGATGATGCATTCTTATCTTCACGAAAGCGTCACTACAACATTTAATCAACTTTAAGATATGATCTTCTGTAACAACAGAATCATGTACATGCTGGTTCAATGAACTAAAAACGTTTCTCTCCACACATTCAGTTAAAACAGTGTTGGAGATTGCACCTGTGATATGCGAACAATGTGGCAAACTTCCGTTGCAAGAATTTATCATTCGCATAACGCATTTCTCGGTCTCATGACACACTTTTAGAAGATCATCTGTTGGTATTTTAGGCCACCATGAGTCTTCCAAGACACAAAGAGGTCTGGAGCCCTGTTTGTCGATGTATGCAAAGCAGCAATACAATCTTGGCAAGTGATCTTTCTTGCAACCATTTTAACAACATAGCCAGCAATGTAAGATATAGCTGCTTCCTTATACTCAGACAAAGCAATGAAGTTGGGCACGTCACAATAGTCATGCTCTTCTTCAATTGGTTGTCGCAACTTCATATCATATCGTCTTGCCGTTGTCACATCAGAAATATCTGCCAATATTTCATTTGTCTCGCAACGATCATTTACTTTGTCAAGATTTCAGTGCTATCTTGAGCAATACAGTTTCCATGTCCTCCTTTGATGTTATGTCTCATCAATAGTTGCTTGTATGCAGCTTTAAACTGACGTGGTGTTGGATTGTTATTCCATCCACCCGCCGCTCGTACAGCTGAAAAGAAAAGCTCTAAGTGATCTTGACTCATTTTGTACGTCAACAAATACCTGAGAACTGGTTTCTCCGAAACAACGAGTTCCTCTGTTAATTCCTTAACGGCCTCAATGCACATGAGGAATCCGAGAAATCCAGTTTTTCTTATGCAAGAGAATTGACTTGCCATCAGCAGTCTTCAATTCTCTTATGTAATCTACAGCTTGATTTAAAAAATCCTTTATGTACGTATAATTGCACATTCTAATTGGTGCCTTGTAGTTCTTAGCTATGGGATTTCTAGAGTTAAGAACATCAAACAAGCGATCAAATATACGAATAAAGTGCACAGTTGCACCGCATCCTTTAAACTGTTGAAGTTTTAACATACCTTCACAATATTCTAATGCATCAGCTACACTAGAACTGAGTGCTTGCACAGCTAGATTGACTTTCATTTTTTGTGAATGCCAATGAATATGACAGGAGCGAAGCTTGTTTGCTAAGCGCAAAACCTCTGACTCCTGCAGCTCAACTAGTTTAATCAAATAATCCCACCTTATCAGGTTATTGTTTGCATCCTTCAATTCTCCCAATTGGGTCAATGCACCTCTCACCAATTTGATCATGTGACATACATCTAATAAAGTATAAATTTTTAAACGTGAATCACATGGATGCAAAAAGTATGCTTGAAAATTATCTGGAGAGTTTTGCTCCAAGAATCTTCATCATTGTTTGATGAGAAGATGGACCATCAGCAGTTAAGCTGGTGACTCTAACACCAACATCATGTAGTCTGGCAATACATTCTCTAGACAGGTCTGCTTTCATCTGTCCAGAAATGCCATCAGTTAGAAAGTAACCAACAGGAACTTTCCACGAAGAATCAAGAGCAACAGCCATATATACTAAGGCTTCTGTCGCTTCAGGCAGTGAGTCGTCATCATTTATGCCAGTTCCCATGTCAACAAAGCCAAAGACTTTGTCTCCATCAAACTCAACATGTTTGCGAATTGCCATTTCATCCAACATTAAGGCACATAGAAGGTATTCTCCTTTCTTTTTAGCTTCTTCAGCCTTAAATTTCAGTGCAACAAATGCATCTTGAGTGAATCCTGGATCACCATCAATTGGATTATACCAAGTGCGGATTGTTCTTGGATGAGGCATTGCTAAATTAAACTTTTCACGTACATAGTCATAAGCTTTCCTGGAATAAAATTTCAATGTAAGAGCAAATGATCTTAGCTCAGGAGGGTAGGAAACACGTGTTTTATCTTCATGTGTTAACCTATTAAATATATCCCTTGACACTCCTGAAAGGGTATTGTTAAGAATTTCAGCCTGATCAACATTAACAAAACCTTCCTCTGTTAAACTAGAAACAACAGAAGACATATCATTGACTTTCATTCTCAGACTACCATTTTGCATTCTGCTGTTCTTAAGTTTTTCTTAAGTGACTCAGCTTTCTCAATGACCTCCTCTAACTGACGCTTCAGTCTATAAGGAGATTGACAACTGTATGTATGATCATGCAATAAACAGTTGAAATTGATCACCTGATTATCATGTTCTTCAATAGTACAGTCATCCTGGGTCAAATTTATTTGATTATCATCCATGACTAAATCTGGCATGGGCACAAGGCTTTTTTCAAATTCAACCTCCTCACTTACAATAGATTTTCCAATACATACTTCATTCACAGGAATATTGAGTTGTGTTTCTATATAACTAGCAGCATCTAGTAAACCTTTAGCCCCTTCATCACTGTAGTCTATATTCTGTCAAATTGTGCAAAAACAAGAAGCTTTAAGGACACATTTTAAATTTAGATACTTCTATTGTATGATACATACCACAGCATTTTTGAATATAGTTGGCACCGCATTCAGTTTTAACACAACTCTATTCCCGACTGTTTCCTTCATATGGTCAGAAAAATGTTCTGAACAAATCCGACTCCATTTCTTTGGGGCAAACTCATTCATAGTTCGAGAGTTTTGCTTAATGCTAAACACCCACATCTCCAAAAGATGTGGGTGTTTTGCTGCATCTGGAAAGCTATAATGAGCAGAAAGTTTGAGATAAATACAATTTAAATTAAAGATTATGCTTTAAAAAAATTTAAAAAAACTACAAACGAAATGGTATCACGCCATCAAACGACAAAATTACAAAAACGAAGTGCTTTGTTTTGAGAAATAATGAACAATATTTTATTGCATACCGGTGCCATGAAATGTTTGTTTTTCTTGCACTATTTTTGCATCCATGTACAACACAAGATTGCGGCATTTTTTGCAATACAAGTATTCAAATAAGACTTCGCAACAAATGTTTTGATATTTATTGTAATGTCTATAAACACGCAATTGTGGTGGTCAAATCCGGAGGGGCGAAAAAGTTTTCATTTCATGAGCCCGCGTCTCTCCGCTGACTTTGACCACCAAAATCCGCCATGTTTTTGACCACGAGGCCCAGGCCCCTTTGCCCCTCCAGGTCTTATAGAGCTCAATGGACTACATACATCGGCAACAGGAAGTCAGGCACGGTTAGCACTATTTTCCACCCAGCAAACCGCCCTTTATTTGAAATATAATATTTTAAACAATATAATATTTTACACAATCCAATATTTTACACAATATAATATTTTATATAATATTTTACACAATCGTCGAAAAACGACATATTTTCCAGCCTGGATTATAAGTTTATGACTTAAGGTGGTTGCATGAAAATTTATACTGCAACATTTATCTGTAAGTATTTTCATATGTTGATATTAAAAACTGTATTATAAAAATATAAAATTACTCGCCATCTCAAAACGACCTAGCACCAGTGCATGGATGGTTTCCTTTTAGCTTTTGGTTCTTTCCCATTAGCCGCCATCTTTAATTTATTAACGATTGTGTAAAGTAAAGGGCGGTTTGCTGGGTGGAAAATAGTGCTAACCGTCAGGCACGTGCCGCTTTGCGTAATGGGATGTCAAGTGACCAAATCGACCAATCGCCGCAAGTTCGCAACTAATTGGACAAAGAAATGCACTTAATGACACTTAATATTGATCTGATTTTACTCATTCATTGCTCTAACAAACGATAACGGAGTTGTCACTTGACTAGTGACGCAAGAATATTCGTAAAAATTCAATTAATTATGCAACGATTGTGTTGTCAGGTATGTGCAACGTTTTTTTCAACATCTGTCGCTGGAATGTTGCATCATTTGGTCGCTGTTCATGAACACGATGCCAGATTGTATATTTCTGCGAAGTGCCGGAATGTAATTAACCTTCGCTAAGGTAAGCTTTTGATTCTTGATACGACACTGATTTGTTTGTTATTTATTAAAAATATTTACTTATTCAGTGCGTTCACGGAGTTGTTGTTTAGGTTAACTCTTACAAAAGTCATCTTAGAAGAAAGCACGCCAATGTTGACTTAAACTCACGTGATCTATGTTGCGTTGAATCAGCGAGTTGCACTCACAACAATTTTTGTCCTGATGAGGATGGCCTTGAACTCTTAATTGATGAATTCAACAGGGAAAATGAACTTGGTGACTCTGTTGAAGCAATGGAACACAAAAATGCTCAATTTCTTCTAAAAACAATAGAAATCAATTTGCTCACACAAAAATGTGTGGATAACATTGTAGAAGATTCCACTGAACTGGTCGAAGGAACAGTCAAAGCAATTAAACACGGTTTGCAAAATTTCTTAAAGAACGCTGGATTAAATTATAATGATGTGCCAGGTCTTGATGAATTATTTGATGAAGGACATGCTATCTCAAATCCATTCAAACATATTTCCACAAAGTACAAACAGAATGCTTATTTTGAGGAGCATTTTGGCTTAGTTGTAAGTTTTATTTCTATGTTTTTTAACTTTTTTTAGAATGCTTAGAGTTTTTGGATAAAGTTTTTTGAGATTTTTAAAATATTTGAGCCAGCTGGTCTTTAGTGCTTGTTATGCATAATCATTATTTTAATTGTAGCAACCCAGACGAACTAAACTTGGACACAGAATTGTGAAAAGACGTTCAAGGACTGTGTACAAAGAGGTTATTAAAGATGACAAAATCATATACATACCAGTGCTTAAATCCTAGGAAAAAATGCTCAATGTAAAAGGAGTACTTGAACAGGTCAGATTGTTAATAGCATGGTTGTGTTTTTTTTATGTTGGCAAGTTTATCAAACTATGACAACTACATCTTTGCAAGTACCCATATCAATAACAGGGTTGCAAAATATTAATACATGTTCTATGTATAACCATAAAAGGAACTTTATGTGTGTTTTACTGTGTTAGTTTCCATGAAAGCATAAACAATGATGACATGTGTTTATTAGAGCACATATCCAAAAATATATTCCAATTATTTCATGAAAATATGAAAATAGCCTGATTTTAATTTGAAATGTCTGATGGTAGGAAGGCACCCATCCTACCACCAGACATTTCCATTGCTGGTTAATAATAAATTTAATTTATTAATAAATTTAATATTTTCATTCTTCTATTTCAATTTCAGATAAACCATGGTCATTTTCGGCAACATAAACATGATGATGTGATTGAGGATGTTTGCGATGGCCAGTATTTCAAAACCCATCAACTGTTTTCTGGCAAAAAAGTGTATGAGCAATGAAAGGCTATAAGAAGCTCTTATTACATCATATGCCATTATTTCTATATGACAGGAGTTGTTTACTACACAACTGGAAATATTGATCCTCGATATCGATCCCAGTGTGATAACATTCACCTACTCCTTATGGCAACAGCTCCAATTATCAAAAAATATGGCATTGACATTCTCTTGGAGCCTTTCATAAATGACCTTGAATACCTTGAACAAGTATGTGATCCTATTTATTGTTTTTTAGCTTATTACCTGTTATTGATAATTGTGCAGAGTAAGTAGTTTGATAAAAGTTACCTAAAATTAACTTTCACACTTCTTTTTTGAGGATGGTTGTCACCAGTTCATTGTTAAAGGTGAACCTAAGTCATTTTCTGGGACTATTGTGTTGGTTTCTGGAGACAGTCTTGGATCACAACTCATGGGTGGATTCAAAGAAGGTCCAGGTGCACATTTGAAATGCCAACAATGCATGGGGACCACTTAACAAATAAAGCAGAAGGTATGTATGTTTATGATAATACATTATTAACCTGTTTCAACATAGATCAAATGTTTTATTATGGTTTTTAGCAGACCAGGAACATACACTTTAAAGTAAGTCTTTCAGTTTTTAGAAAAACATTTTACACTTCGAACTCGTGCTGGTCATGACCGCCAATGTGAACTGATTGAAGAAAACCCAGAACTGAGTAAAGCATATGGGCTTTGCAGGAGATCAATTCTTCGCAACTCTAGGTATTTTCATGTAGCAGATGGCATGCCAGGTGATGCAATGCATGATATACTAGAAGGAGTACTTCAGCATGTATGTAAAGAATTTCTGAAGGACTTCATATTTAAAGAAAAATTTTTAACAGTGGAGCAACTTAATGAAAGAATTAACTCTTTTGATTATGAATATTTTAATGATAAAAACAAGCCATCACCAATCACCCGGACAACTTTGAGGAGTGAAAACAATAGTTTAAAGCAAAAAGGTAGGGTGTAGTGATTGTCACGAGCATTAATACCATCACCCTTGATTTAAATGATTGGTTTTTCTTTTTATAGCAAGACAAATGTGGTGCCTTGGAAAATTCCTTCCTTTAGCTCTCGGCAGTGCCATTCCAAAGGATGAAGAAAAGTGGATGCATTTTCTGTTGCTCCTTAAAATTGTTGACATTGTTTTTTCACCAATCCCAAACACTGATGAACTTGCTATCCTGGAAGGATACCTGAAGGAATTTTTGTGGAAATTCACCCAGCTTTATCCTGGGCTTTCAGTTATACCCAAGATGCATTACTTGGTTTATTACCCAGCTCGTATTTACAGGTATGATTTTGCTGGTTTGTATCTTAGTTTATAAATAAAAATATGGTATGTAGCTCAAAATGCATGTAAAAATTACATCATTGGTTTCCCTCTAGCTAACATGAGTCCTTAATTTTTTCAGATTGTGACCAATGATTCAGAGCTGGTGCATGTTATATGAAGCAAAGTATAGTTACTTTAAAAGATTGGCTTCATACCTTGGAAACTTCACTAATGTTGCACAGAGCCTTGCTGAACGACATCAAACCAGAAGTTTCTATCTAAGAAATCAACCCATTGCAAAAAAGTCTAAAATTGTTAGGATTTTTTTGAATAGATTGATTTTAATTCTAAAAACAAATAGATCAATTTTTAGTAACCTCTCTAGTAAGATAATAAATTGATGTTTGTTTGTTTCTCTTTAGATTCTGCAAAAGAAATTGTTGCTAAGGATAGTAAACATTATTATTTGCTCAAAGAGAAGAAACCTAACTTAAGTGACATTAGTATTTTGTCAAGGTAAAGTACACATAGTGATTGTTTTTATTACAGAAGATGGTGACTATTGCGAGAAAAAATTGCTAGTACTTTATAAAATGAAACCATGGCTGTAATCTGACTCTTAGACAATTTTAGATCCAACCCAGATCCTGTGGGTTTTGCACCCATTATGCGCTTAATTTGCGTCTTAGTAAGCATAAGCAAGTCAAGGCCGTCAAGTGCTTTTTTGGTAAGTCGTATAGTCACTCCGGTTCGTCATAACAACAGCTTTGAATCGGAATCCGCTTATGAGCGTGTATAATCACATTTTTTGACGGATATTTAAAGTGTAAGTTACTTGCTCACCATTTAAATCAATCTCATTTCCTGACTGATCAGTGATGTTCATTTGCACTCGAGTGATAAGGCTAGTTTTTATTACTGGTAAATAGGTCGGTGGACTACGACTTATTTCCAACAAACCTCCTGGTTCTCGGTTTGGAGTAAGTGATTTAATAACATCACTAGAATTTCCGTTCAAAGAATGGATTACCGCTTCGGGCTACAAGAATTTCGTCAAAACGCTTCCGATACCGAATAGGAACCTCCTCTGCAGTACGATCGATACAAAGTAGTCGTACTTCTTTCAGTGTCTTCATAGTAAGCCGCAACTAGATGCTCTTTTGTAATACCATCAGCGTGGTCAGCTGCGATTTCTCTCACATCGCTCTGGTCAAGACCTCTTATAAGCACGATACAGCCAGTATTTCGTCGAATGTACTTGGGCACGTCATGATAGCTTTGCGCTAAGTATATAGCTGTGACATTCTTATGTCGACTTGCTGAGAAATACTCTTTGATTGGGTTTAAGCTTTTTGAATCGTGCCGAATATCGTCAAAGACTACTGTCTCGGGATTAGTGTCTAACTCCTCTAGTGGAGTTACATCATCAGGTTCTCTTAATTCAACACATTCTTCCAGGCCGATGCTTTCGTAGAACTCTGATAGAATCTGATGTTTCCTGGTCGCGACTTGTTGTGTAAACAGTTAATTTAGGGCAATCTGCAGTCAATTTAGGATAATCATACCAACGCATAATCATGTTAATTAAAAGGTTCCTTTTTAACGGAATTAGTAGGGCCTACGATAAGATGAAGGCTTTATGGCTTTCGGGCATCATTCAATGGTGGCGCTTTGATTTTTTAGCGGTGGGTGGCTCGAAATTTATGAGTGCCATTATCATATAATAACATATTATATCACATCAGACTAATCATCGGACTAATTTTTTACATCTATATATAGTCCTGCAAGAAAATGGCAACTGCAAGCGCACCTCCAGTCGAGCCAGTAGACGTTCCTAGGCCAGTACCACAGATATATCCGGATTTAAAACGTGAATATGATTACCAAGGGATAGAAGACGTTCTTTCACCCCGTTCATGAGTCGAAACGAGCAACTTTCGCCTTGTTCGCATTTCAAAAATTGAGGCAGAGCTCCGCCAAGAGCGTGACGCTCGTCATAAGCTGCGTAAGAAATACACGCGCATTATTCGACACTCGATACCTTATCTGCTGCATCGAGTGCCTTTACAGTCGCGACAGGAACTGGAGGTATTGCTCTGACTCTATCTGGTGTGGGCGGCCCGGCTGGGGCCGCTCTTGAAGCACTTGCTGTCGCTGGCGAGTTGATCTCAGGTGTTGGGCATGTTGTTTGTAAAAAGCTTGAGAAAAAGGCTAAAAAGCACGACCGCATAGCTCAAGCTCCTGCGACGATTCTGATGACTGTTGGCGATATTACGTCACGTGCTCTCAGTAACAGCCGAGTCTCACATGAAGAGTTTGAACAGGTTCTAGATCAAATGCGGCGTTTTAACGAGCGTAAACGCATTATTCAAGATGAATTCGACGCTCTGATGCGTAAGAAGCAGGCTGCCAATGTAGTTTCGCTACTCAAAGAAATGAAAAAGACAAATTAGAACTTAGATGTCACACAAACATTAAAATGTCTAACGCAGCTGAAACTTCGGTTCATGAATTTGAATCAACAAACGATCTCTTTCGCCGAGTTGTAGAAGTATACTTAAAGAGAAAATTTTTGAAAATTTCCAACTAGAATATAATTCTAGTGCTGAAAAAATAGTCATATCTTCTTGGAACTATTCAGACGTAGATAAACCTACGCGTGAGGCTCTCGAAGCTTTGCTACGTCCGGCAAAAAAAACACCACGCCCGTAGTGTAAAACATCATAGAAAACGTGAAAAACAAAAAAAAACGACTAGAAATTCCAGTAGATGTGTACACTCAAGTTGGTACTTCAGTCACTGGAAAAAGAGGTTCAGATTGCACCAATGTCGCGATGTGTGAAAAAGGTGAAGCAGATTCTTCTACAATCACCATTGAAACCACTGGATTCTACCGAATATCATTTAGTGGAAAATGTTTTACAAGTGCAGGGGCGCTTTGAGTACTTCAAACTCGTAGCAAATTACTTGTTTTAAGTAAAACAAAAACACATGGTATTGGTGATATTAACTCTGAATGTAGCTATAGTGATTTTATAGATGTAGACTTACCTGCTGATGCAACATTAGTTGTTCAACAGATGGGAACTGCTAAAGTAATTATCACACTCAATATAGAAAGTATAATACCCGAATCTTCAACGGTTATTTGATGAAGATTTGCTACACGAAGCGCTAGATGATTCCGAAGGCTTTCCTTCACTTTTTTGTTCATTACCTAGAACCGAATAAGAACACTTCACGTTTGGCAAAGGGGGTGAGCCAATCTCTGAAGGTGTTGGAGCTTCTTTACACATTTTATTTACTGCACTTAGAAACCGATGTGCGTTGTAGTTTATTAGCGATGGGTCGCATACATCCCCATGTGCAGCTTCCCAAACCTACAGAATTTGTTATAACAGGTGCTCTTATTTCGACTACATCATTAGGCCTTATAAGTCTGCGCTTACACTGTTCCAGAAGAGGTGTAGGTGGAGCTACATTAGTACGCTTCCTTGATGTAGATGCAAGTTGTTGAAAAGCTTCAAGAAATAAATTCAAAGCTCTTCCACTTATAACACCTTGCGTATATAGCTTTAAAATTTCTCTGACAGTATCCATAATATCACATCAAACTAATCTTAACTCTATATAATATATAAATATTATTAGTCTGATGGGTTTATTTTTCTAATTTTATATAACCCGCTTCTAATAACAATCTAGTATGAAATTTAATTAGTTGTAATAGTAAATACGTACGCGAACTACAGTACAAGATCGAAATGGCTGATTACATAGAAATATTCCTAAAGTTTCCACGTAAATTTTGAGATGAAAAACAGTATATAATTTATGCAAGTGATAGACGAGAGTATTATCCAATGTGGCAGGATCTCGAATCAATATTCTTATTATCACAGTTACTGGTGAAGAAGCAACAAGAATACAATATCAAAGTAAACAGGAAACACAAGAAGAAATCATGACTGTATTACATAGTGTTTATGGTTTGGACATCCCAGATCCTATTGATATTTATTATTACCGATGTAGATTTGATCCTTTGTTTGTTGGTTGTTATTCAAATAATCCAATAGGATTTAGTGATGAAGATTACAAAGTTCTACAATCAAATGTATCTCGTTTGTATTTTGCTAAAGAAGCTACTGATGAGTTGTATAATGGTTATGTACACGGGGCTTATTTTAGTGGTCTTCATCGTGCTCTAAAAATCCTTGAACATATTAAAGAAAATGAAAAAAAAAAATTTAATGAAAAAATACACAATGATATTGCTGGCAGTAAGTTTGTCCTGATTTTTATTTTCTTTGTATGACAAAAATGATAGTTAATAGTCCGGAGTATAAGACCTAGCATTGTTCAAATTCATGAAGAAAGTCTCAAATTCACTATTTTGCATTGGTTTATCAATGAAATTAAAATAGAGGTGAGACCCCAGCAAAATACCTTTTTGTTTCCGAGAAAATTATCAATAAATTTTGCCATATATTTTAATAGTAAAGGCACAGGGATCCCATTTCAAATAAAAAGAAAATCTACAAAACAATTTAGTTCTCATCGCATTTATATCCTCTTGGAAGTAAGTATTATTAAGCGATATATAATTCGTATAAATTGTCATTTATACCAATAAATTTCACATACTTTCAATAAAAAAATGAGAAGAATATTTGGGATTTCTTGATTTATTGGTGTTATTAAATTTTTACAAGAGCATGAAAATGTTTAATAATGATATTGTATCACCTGTCGTCTTCACTGCAGTGTATTCTTTTGATTCATTTTCGGGATTATTTAGGGAATATTACTTACTTATTAATCTTGGTAACAGCTACCACCACATTTGCACAATGCTGTGCATGGAAGATTGACTTGGTACATTTGCACAAGCCCCTACATGCTTTCTTGCAACCACAGTGCACCAGTTCGTTGCACGCTTTGGAAGCCTCTGGAAGAGTGCTCCATGTAGGAATCCATCTGCCATTATTTTGCCATCCCCACTGCGAAGGAAGCGGTAACTGTTGAACTGAAACTAACGACTGACCCCAAACATGACCAGCCTGATATGTTGCCCTCCGAATGTGCTGTACCAAGGAGGCTTGGGTTGGTGGAATGTGGTCGATTGTCTTAGTACCTTGTGCAAATATAGCTTGTCTAGCATCATTGATGTTGGAGAGCGGGCATGTGCGGGAATACATAATAATGATAAATCTTTCAATTTTTCCATTTCTTCTTCTGAGATGGATTCTTTTGGAGATGAAAGAAGCTGAAACACACTGGTAACATCAGGAAAAGACTTCCAGGCTTGAAATGCAGTCTTTTTACCTTTTCCAGCAAAGAACGACACAGTATCACAACCAGTGACAGCATGAAAGAAGGGTAGGGCTTCACATTGCTCCCTACTCAACGAGCTTTGTGTAATGTTATGAATTGGTAAGTACCTCATGTGTTTACCAACACCAAAAGCAATCCAAAGTTCATCTACATCTAACTTGTGCACGTTTGCTATTGCTAACACAACAACATCTGTGTCTACAGTTCTTATGACAATTTTCCTCATTCCACCTTTCGCTGCATGGTTTGCATGAATGAAAATGCGCGTATCGGCCTCCTCGTGATTGCAGGAGCTAACTCATCTTTTCGATTGGCTTCGAACTTATTATGTCTTCCTCAAAAGTGCTTACAATTGTAACATTTGGCAGTTGAATCGATGTTGCTGCCTGACTGAGGTACTTGAAAAGTTCTTGTTTGTTGTCATCTGATCTTAAAATGATTTCCAGTTTGCAGGGATCACAGCCATGTCACATACTCTTCTTCTTGCCCCTACAGCGCCTCGCGATGAACGAGTACCCTGCTTAAGGCTGTCGGGTATATAACGGTCCCAAACAAGATCTATTCTTCTAATACCATTTGCTTGTTGAACAATATAAGGAACAAACACTGATTTGGAGTATTCTTGAAAGGTCTTACACTTCCCTGGGCTAAGCATGTTTACAATAGCTGCGGCATCCAAGATTTTGACATCAACATTTGGACAGGTGGTCTGCACATCAGCTTCGAGACAATCAATCAATTCTGATTTCTGGCCACTTCGCATCTTGTCCCCTGATGATAATGAAGGAGGAGTACTCTGGTTTTCATGCTTAAAAATTCTTGAGATTCCTTCTCTTGACTGACAAGCAATGTACAACCTTGCAAAAAGATTGCAGTCATTCTTTAATGTTGTGACTTGAAGTTTCGTCTTGTTGGTTGTCGTTGGTACTGATGTTCCAAAAAGTGGAAGCTTATTGCGTTCAATTGTGTCAGTTATTGGTGTGTTACACTTTTCAAGTCTCTCTTCGACGTACTTAGTGTATTGTGCTTCTCCGATCTTTCGAGCTGTATAAATCGACTCTATAACACACTCAGGCTCTATTTCTTTCGTATCTACGACAATCAGATCCTTGCTATTTTCCATAAAGGGTTTCCAAACTCCTTTAATGCAGCAGACATTGATTTTACATCTTTTGCAAAGTTCTTTTGGACAGATGGTGTCTGTTCGTGGTGAGTAATGTTCTTTGTAGAACACTGAACGCCAAAGGAACACTCAAACTCTCTTACCAGTCTTGCAATTTCAGGTCCTGCGATCATCCAACGTCTTAGGGCCGTTGGGCACTCGGTGAGGCCCACTGCTCCACCATCACCTTTTATCATTTCGTTCTCTTGCTCGTGGTTTTGGTCAAGGGACATCATAGAAAAACGATGTTGGGACTTCTGAACCACAAATTTTCCATGTGCACTAAACTCTGTAAAAAGAGTAGGATGCGTTTTCTCTAATCGTAAGAGATCTCTCACATGTACTGGCAACCATCTAGAGTAGTTAGACAAGTTCATCGCAAAAAACCAAGGAAGTACCTTTCCAAGCACTTGTAAGTAGACTTGGAAGTTACCCTCTCTGGTAGCCTTAACAAACTGCAGTAGAAGAATTTCGAGGTCTAATACTGTCGCCCAGTATTTGAATTGCGGGCAAAGCTCACTTTGTTCTTTTATCCAAGCTTCATAACTTTTGGGGCTTGTCTTCACAACTTTCGATGTACTCCTGGTAAGCAATTTTCTGCATAAGGTAAATTGCACAGGCACTTACTTGGTGGACATAGCGAGATCTCGTCACGTGCGATCCTTTCAAAACAGAATCCGCTCTTCCACTTGTCATAACCTCAGCATGAATTAGAGCACTTCAAAGTAAAAATATATGTAGTTATTAGATTGAGATTATAAAACAACAAATCTACACCATACCTTGCCCACCCACTGTTAGTTAACCAATGTCCAATCATCTTTAATATTGCCATCTCAATATGCAGGCCACCCATCATTACCATGTACTTATCTTCACCGAATTCATTTTTGTTGTTCCACTGTATTTGCTTAGCGAGTGCATAGAGTGGTTGGTCCATCGCTATAACAGGAGTTTGATTAGGGTTTAAGAACTTAGTAGATTCTTTGACGGTTTTCATTGCATGCTTTATCATAGCCATAGTATGAGCATTGTCTTCAAAAGTGGCAATAAAGAGGTGATTGCATTGGGCCTCAAAACTACGTTTTGCTCAGATGCAAAGTAAGCTGACCATGATAAGTAATCCTTTTCTTCAAGCTTTTCTTTGAGTAAAAGTTCGTCGACCCTTTTTAGCCATTTCTCCTCTTCCTTGATGCTTTTATTTATCAGGTCTTGTTTAGGTTTAAAAGAGCCAGTGACTTTGGGACAAAGAGATCCTTTTACCTTCATCTGTGACAGGAGTTACAGTTGTATAGAATTCAGGTAAACTGTTGACGACCTTTGACTTTGTGGGAGTGTTATCCTGTGGCACTTGTTCTCGTTCTTCTCCTTGTGAGTCAAGAGAAGGATGTTGTGTAAGGAAATTGCTGTTCCATGAAATGAATTTTTAGCGGTTCTTGAGGACGGATTGTGATCGATATTGTCAACTTGGCCTGTAGTAAAGATATTCTTTCTTAATTTTGGAGGACATACAACACCCTCCTTCTCATACAGTTTGCAACACTTGTTTCCCAGATCTGCAGATATCTGCATTAGTCTGTCATAAGAAATGCAAAGACCTAGCTTATAAAACTTGTCGACCAATGTTTTTTCTTGTTTCTGCATGGACAACGAGCGCCGTGGAAGTGGTTAATGGTGTCTCTCTTGACTTGTCATGTCGAATGGCATTGCTAGCACCTGATCGTACATGCTTTACTGAATTAAATATTAGCAGTTGGGAAATCGTTAAAGCGGCACTGGCTCCTGACACCTCTTGTTTCTTTTGATTATTTATATTTGGACCCTCTAAAATCATATTTATCAGGGCAAGTAAACTATCGGGGACTGCTTGTTGTTGGCATTCTGGTGTAAACGTGCCTTCAAAGGGTTCCCTTTTCAAGAACATTTTTTTTCGTACTATACTAGCAGCTTTTGCAAGGTACAATGCAGCGGTGTCTAGGTTCCTATTGTGTACAAAAGCCATAGCTGTTCCAATATCATTTGGCATTGCCAGCTTCACATCTTTACCATCTTTAAATGCATGCAGCTCTGGTATTTGAGTGAGAAGTCGTTCTTTCAGTCTTGTGGAGTTGATACGTCCTTTCACTTCTACTCCTAATTGTTCAAGTCTTGAACAATAGAGCTCTGACAATTGAGACATCTTGAAAACTGCTTCACCAGCTGCCAGGCTTTCACTAATATATAGGCTTAATTCTGCAAGGGCTATTGCCTCAGGTGTTATTTCATTTTATCATCAACAGCACTATCTTGTGGTTGGTTTAATTTGCTTCTCTGACGGTTATAGAGAGATGTCAAGCATGATTTATGGTAATATGCATCTCTTGCATGCATATCACCTTGTGCTAATTTTGCTAACAGTTTGTAATCTTGAAGCGTCTCGGCCGCTGATTGAACATTATTGGTAATTGACATGGTTTCTGCTTTATGCAAATCACCCTCTGTGCAATCACAGAAAAACATGATAAAGCATTGCTACTCTTACTTGACAATTCAAATGTCTTTCTTCTTGTTTTAGCTGGACTAGTAGCTCCTAATATTGCTGGATCCTCAGTTGAAAATTCCTCTTCACTTTTGCGCTTTTGTGCCCGCTGAAGCTTTAGCGTATTGCATTTATTATAGCACGATTTGTGCCATGATGCTCTGTGATTTCTTAAAGTATTTTCAATGCCTGTTAAAGTATTATTATAAGGCTAAATAAGTACAATTTATGGCTCATAGTTGATCTGTGAGTTTATTTCACTTTTAATTGATTAGGAATTCCTTACCTCTGCCATCATCAAGAGAAGAAAGTGGAATGTTAATAGGTAGCGAATCAAGTTTCTCGAATTCTTTCAAGTTTTCTGCAATTGTCTTGTAACTTGAGCCAGCAAGTAAAGTATTTGAAGCTTTTTCCGGACATAAAATCTTTTCTTTTGTGTCTTTTTGACATAAGGCACAAAGGTTCCAGTTTAAAGACATTTTAAAAGCGAAAAATAATCAAAAAAATTATCGAGAAATAGCACTATATCGTCTGGAAATGCCAAATTAACTAGGCGACCAGGCTTTTGCCACAGGGAGCCCAAAATTTATGCAGTTTTCGAAATAACCTTTAAAAAGGGTAACTTTCGACAATTAATTAATTTTTACCGGAATTTTCATGGTGTTTTGTTGTTTTTATATAAAATACAACATTTTTATTTAACATTTTTATATTTAAAACGGTTTTATAAAAGCCTCATTAAGCCCGCGATTTAAGCCGCTGACCAAACTTTTAATCGGCTCAAAAGTACCCTAAACAAGCTGATCCTGCTGGGGTCTCACTTTTATTTTGATCTATAAATAAAATTAGCAATTTGTGGTAAGTTTCATGCTTTCTTCACATGTTTGAACAATCTGACCAATTTTCGGAGCTTATCCTCCGGACTATAACAAATGTTTTGATGATCATTTCAATGTACATTTATAATTGAAAGCCTTTATCTTATTGATCATCATCTTTCTATTTGTTACTTTAAATTACACTTCAAGCAATTTCACCATGATCTTTTTTCTTATCTTTCCAATCAAAGGATAATGATAAATAGTAGTATAGATTTCCATATATCAATGATAGCCTCAAAGGTTCCAATAAAAACTGTTGCACGTAATAAATGTAAAATATGTTATCCATTTCCATACAAACAATTGTATTTTCCAGTTTTCAACTATCATTTAAATAATGAGGCAGTGGTTCTTCTGGCAGTAATTTTCACAGTATATTTAGGAGTTTAGTTTTCAATCTAGAGTATTTCTTTTTTTTTGGGAAGTTGTGTTTAATTGAGGACATATTTATTGTAGATTCATCCATAAAGAACTCTGACTTTGCTGTGTAAAGTGTTTTATTTTAAAACTCATAAAATATATTTTCTTTTTATAAGAATTGAAGTTGGTTCAGTTGGTCAGTTAGTGTTACTTGATTCTGTCTTTATTGCTGTTTATAGTTGTGGATGTAATCAATTCTTGAAACACTCTTAATTTTACATAACAGTTGGATATCCATTTAAATGTAGTAATCTTATGTTAAATGTATTGTCAATAATTATTTAATATGACCATTTTAGGTGCAACTGTTCTTTTTTGTACCTTTGTGTACAGAAACTGAAAACACAACTGCTTTTGTCCTTTTTTTCTTCCTTTATCTCGTGAAACGTTTCTCAAATACGGAAGACGTTTAGCTGTTGGCAAATAAAGAGGTCAATGCTTAACTTTCAATTTTTATCGTTATAAACTTTATTTTGTTGCATCGTGTTTTTCCTGACACAGTATATTACAACGTGATTGCTTTCTCGTAATATTAACATTGTCAGGTCCTAATGCTTTCTTTTCAATTTTCATCGCTCGTTGATAAAAATCTTTTCCTCCTTCGTGCTCTCCCATTTTATAATAAAGCAAACCCAGATTGTACGTCATCGCAATATTAACATGGTCAGGTCCAAATGCTTTCGTTTCAATTTCCATCGTTCGTTCATAAAAATCTCTTGCTGTTTCGTACTCTCACATATTATCGTAAACCGAATCCAGATTGCTGTACGTTGTCGCAATATTAACATGGTCAGGTCCGAATGCCTTTGTTTGAATTTTCATCGCTCGTTCATAAAAATCTTTTGCTTTTTCGTACTCTTCCATTTTACTGTAAACCGAGCCCAGATTGTAGTACGTTGTCACAATTTTAACATGGTCAGGTCCGAATGCCTTTGTTTGAATTTGCATCGCTCGTTCATAAAAATCTTTTGCTTTTTCGTACTGTCCCATATTATAGTAAACAAAACCCAGATTGTTGTATGTTGTCGCAAGATTGACATGGTTAGTTCCAAATGCTTTCGTTCGAATTTCTATCGCTCGTTCATAAAAATCTTTAGCTTTTTCGTACTCTTCAATTTTACTGTAAACCAAACCCAGATCGTTGTACGTTGTCGCAATATCAACATGGTCAGGTCCGAATGCCTTTGTTTGAATTTTCATCGCTCGTTCATAAAAATCTTTTGCTTTTTCGTACTCTTCCATTTTACTGCAAACCGAGCCCAGATTGTAGTACGTTGTCACAATTTTAACATGGTCAGGTCCGAATGCCTTTGTTTGAATTTGCATCGCTCGTTCATAAAAATCTTTTGCTTTTTCGTACTGTCCCATATTATAGTAAACAAAACCCAGATTGTTGTATGTTGTCGCAAGATGGACATGGTTAGTTCCAAATGCTTTCGTTCGAATTTCTATCGCTCGTTCATAAAAATCTTTAGCTTTTTCGTACTCTTCAATTTTACTGTAAACCAAACCCAGATTGTTGTACGTTGTCGCAATATTAACATGGTCAGGTCCTAATGCTTTCATTTGAATTTCCATCGCTAGTTCATAAAAATCTTCTGCTTTTTCGTAATCTCCCATACTATGGTAAACCGAACCCAGATTGTTGTATTTTGTCGCAATATTAACATTGTTAGGGCCAAATGCTTTCGTTTCAATTTCTATCGCTTGTTCACAAAATTCTTTTGCTTTTTCGTACTCTCTCAAACTAAGGTAAACCGAACCCAGATTGTTGTACGTTTTCGCAATATTAACATGGTCAGGTTCTAATGTTTTTACTTGAATTTTTATCGCTCGCTCGAGAAAATCTTTAGCATTTTCATAGTCTCCATTCTTCCAATGCAACTCACTCAGATCGTTGTACGAATAAGAAACATTAATATGATCAACACCTAACACTTTCGTAAGAATTTCTGTTATTTCATAAAGTACTTTAGTTGCAAGTTCATAGTTGCAAAATCTTTCCAAAACATCAACAAAATATTTGGCAAGTTTCCAATTTCTTTTATCAAGTTTTTGTTTTGATGATGTTACATCGATCAACTTATTTAGGAAATGTTGAAATGATGAAGTTGTTATGAATTTAATTAAATGTGGAATTATTTTGATTTCATCTTCTCTGTCTTGAAAATGATTTAGTGCCCAAGCAACTTGACAGGCAAGATCAGCTGCAAACTTTTTAGAATTATTTTCGTTTAGTTTACATCCAAAGGTCTGCGATGAATAATTTATGATGGCATCGTGTACAACGCTGTGCAGGCGGATGTCGTTATTTTCCGTTTGAAGGAATAAAGAACAATGCTTTAATTGAAGATAGACATCTTCTTCAGATTTTTGTGGATCAATGCTTTTAATAAATTGTATTATAACATCTTGTGGTAAGGGATCAAAAGATATTATTGAGAAAAGTTTAAAAACATGTTCCAACAAGATGGATTCTTCAGCATTTTTTTGTACTGCTAACATAACAGTTTTCATTCCTAAGTAAGATGTGTTTATTTTTTGAAAATTAGCATCCATGTTCTCTCGCTCTCCTTCAATCACCTTATCAAAATATTGCTCCCACGTGAATGTCGGATTTACACTTTTTACACTACCTACGTAGGAAGCAGCATTTGCCAGGAACAACGGTTGACGATCTAATTTGTCTGATAAATCCTTTAAATATTTTTCATCTTTATCATGAATATCAGAAAAGACAGATAGAAGTTGTCGACATTCATCATTGTTCATACCATGACTAACTAAAATGTGTTTATTTAGATTTCCATCTGGTGGTATAGCATCTGTATTTTGAACAGTTACTATAATTTGTCCATTTTTCCAATTACGATCACCAACTTGAGGTAATAATGGATAAATTTTATGAAGTTCAACCACGTTATCTACAACAATCCACCATGTTTGCCAAGATTTCAGTTGTTGTGTCAGCAATAATTGAAAATATTTAATTTTTTCTTCGCTGCTTTTTCCTTCTTTTAGAATATTTTCAATGACAGTTTTATCATTGTTAAAGCGTTGACAAAGTTCAGCATAAGTTTTTAAAAGGGATTCTGCATCATTTCCTTCGAGTGTCATCACAAATGTTGTTTTATTTTCCCAGTCTACTGACTTAAACATTTTTTCACAAACTTGTCTAGCTAATTGAGATTTACCACTGCCAGGATTACCAGAAATATAGTAATATGTTAGTTCATTATCGTTAGTACTGCGCAAGTTGTTGAGATCTGCTGTGATTTGATTAAGTAATTCTGTACGTTTAACCACATCGTGATTTGATTTGCAAGGAAGTACTTGAAAAGAACTAAACTTGTTTCTCTGACTTTTTATTTCATTAATTTCAGTGAATGAAAATCCTAGATCTTGAAACGAATTTTCAATATCAGAAACCATTGTATGAAATTTGTCATCAGAAACTTTTCCTTTATTTTCATGGATAAATTTGTTTCTAACAATACGAAGTTTATCCACAGCAGCCTTAGATTTGGGGTCAAGTTTTGTTCCAACTGAGTTGGAAAACAATATTGCTGCAAACAGTGTTGTACAATCCCACTTACTGGTATCACCATCTTGAAATTTTGACAGAATATGTTTGTCATGAGGTTTAGGTTTCCTCTTTGTTTTTTCAAAATTGAACAACTTCATACCACTGACGTTTGTATTTTCCCATTCTCCGTGGGATTTTTTGTAATGAGTGTTCCATTCTTGGATAAAAAGATCAACAAGTTTCTTTTCAACATCTGTAAGTACTTTCTGCAGAGAGGAGTTATTAATTTCCTCTCTTGACTGCATCTAAAGGTCATAAAATTATTAATATCAACATAAATTGGTTCTTTAATTAGAGTTTATAGACAACTAAAATTGTGGAAAATCAAACATAGCTACGTAATGTTACAGTTTTACTTGCACGTGTAAATGAATATCGAGGATGGCAGCTAAAAACAACGCAATTGGACATTTTAGTTTTCCTGCATTTAGGCATTTGGCTACATTTTGGTAGTGGCGTCGCCAGGATTTTATGAGTCGGGCTTGTACCACGTCAGTCGCTATCGAAATGGCCCTAACAATTGCTTCTGCACTGGGAAATTTTTGAAATATTTATCACAACAAGAATAGTTTCAATTTTTTAACTTCTCACCTTGGCAGATTTGTACATTCTTCGTGTTATAACGTTACGTAGATTGATTATTGATTTTAATGAAATGTTTTCATATTATAATACTCCCAGAATTGCAGTCTTTTCATGAGCCTTACTCTTAGTCATTGCTATATTTGTATTTTTGTGTCTACAAGTTCGAGTCTACGAGTATACT